TATCTGGCATATCTTCTGGCATTCTATCTGACATTTTATTGTGCAATCTATCTGGCATACCTTCTGGCATTCTATCTGGCATTCTATCTGGCATATCCTCTGGCATTCTATCTGGCATATCTCATGGCATTTTATCTGGCATATCTTCTGCATTCTATCTGACATTCTATCTGGCATATCTTCTGGCATTCTATCTGGCCGTTGAGGTCCAGCGGTGCACACTGAGCTGGGCAGGTCCCAGGTTGAGGTCCAGCGGTGCACACTGAGCTGGGAAGGTCCCAGGTTGAGGTCCAGCGGTGCACACTGAGCTGGGCAGCTCGCAGGTTGAGGTCCAGCGGTGCACACTGAGCTGGGCAGCTCGCAGGTTGACGTCCAGCAGTGCGCACTGAGCTGGGCAGCTCGCAGGTTGAGGTCCAGCGGTGCACACTGAGCTGGGCAGCTCGCAGGTTGACGTCCAGCAGAACCCACTGAGCTGGGAAGTTGGCGAAGCGCTTGGCGACGAGTTTGCAAGGTTGGCAAGGCGGAAGTGGAGGTGGAGCAAGGCGGAAGTGGAGGTGGAAGAGGCGGAGGCGAGGAGGAGGAGGGCGAGGAGGACAGCTAGTCGAGGAGGAGGAGGAGGAGGAGAAGGCGGAGGAGGAGGGGGCATGCGCTCTGATAAAATCTAACAACCCTCACCTGGCAGGTGGGGAAAAAACAAAACAGCCGTCTTAAGCGATCCTAATATGTGTCCACTGCATGTATCAAGCATGTATGAGGATCCAACCAGTTCCATAGTTTTGGCTCGGCGTCGGAGCTCTGGCACCGATTCCCATCTTCTAGCAAGGTCTGTGGTCATGTTGCCCTAATTTTTGGGCAACAATCATAGGAGCCAAACACCTTTCGTATTGATTGGCAATTGCAGGTTTCCAATGACATCCAACCGGACCAATACATTTCACAGCCTTATAAGCAGGACAAGCGGGGTTGAGCCTCAGGGCTGAAGAAGGCTCCAGGTCACCTGCAACACGGTCCAAAATAATTTCACCATATTATCTGTTTTAAACAGATCTTGACCAGACCACCTAGCCTCTGAACTGACCACCAAAATCACCAGCGCCATGATCCTGGTGGGCTGTCGACCCAAGGAATTGGATCGCCAGCTTTGAAAACACGGTCGATGCATGCACCATGCACACACACATCAAATCATACAGGTCCTCCTGAAACGCACATAGGTGCGGCGGTAAGGAAGGGAAAGTGAACAGAAATGGCTAAGGCATGGGTAAAACGTTGGGAATTGTAGATTTAACATTCAATCCCTGGCACAACATGATTTTGAAGCGTTTGAGTCGTTTTATGAGCTCAATCCAAAAAACAGTAATTCAAGGCAAACAACTCAAATTACTGGAAATTTTGCATCGGAGGAGTTTCGAGGAAGTTAATAGATTTATGCTCTAAAGCCCAATTTATAGCTGCAACCCCACAGTCACAGAGGGATTCTTGGGGCAGGTGTCTCCTCCGCCCAGAGTGGGGACCGGGCGCCCAGAGTGATAGGTTCTAGGCGGCTTGTTGTGGGAACAATTGGGATAGACCATGGGTATATGATGGTATATGGGTCAGTCTGAAAAGAGGTACACCAAAATGTGATAGTAAACTATCATCTTTCCATGTTAGAAAATATTGGATTGGCATGATTGGCAACTTTGAAGTATCTTCCATTTTCAGATCAGAACCTTTTTTGGACCGAATGTCTGGCAGAATCTCAAAATGACTTGTCTTTGTTTTAGGATTAATTTTGTTTTGCCCAGTATTCCTTGGTGACTCATCGTAGGGGGGTGTGTAGGTTTAAATGGGGTAGTAAGCGACTTCCAAAGCAGAGTGCACCACCAAGAATGGGCTCGAGTTCCCCAAACCTGCCGTTGATGAAGCCGCTTGAATTCTGGATTCCATTTTGTTACCATTGGTTGGGTTCAATAATGGAAATTGTAAGAGTATTGGAATCTGACGTATTTCAATATTGTAAAAAATGGAACGTCAAAGATATCTGCTGGTAGCAAACCTGCGGCAGCATCTGCTTTGGACGAAATATACTGGACCAAACATCTGGATTACCCTCTGGTAAACTAACACAACTATGGAAAATCACCATTTTTGATGGGAAAACTCACTATAAATGGTGATTTTCCATAGTCATGTTAAATTACCAGAGGGTAGATACTCTGCGGCCCACCACTAGACCAGCAAACTCCATCACCTCGAGTTCTCCGAGATCCGCATGGGGATTGAGATCCAATGGATGCAACGGGAATCATTTGATGATAAACCAGGGAATATTTTAATGATATACCCTCTGGTTGTTTAACGTAGCGAACTGGAACATAGCCCATATAGATGATTTATGATGGTTTACCTACTAAAAAATGTGATTTTCCATAGCTACGTTAAATAGAGAGAGGGTACCAATTTTAGGAAGAACCGTGAGAAACCAACATGAAATAGACGTAGATGTCCTTCTCCTGCTGCTTAGTTGATTTTGGGGCACTCCGGCATTTTTCACAAGCCATTGGTCATCTCCATTTTTTTGACCCCAAATTCCCCAACCTGGGGATGCAGCTAAACCTATTATCCTCTGGTCAATTAACAGTTGGACCCTGAAAATAACCAATTTTTGATGGAAACTAATCTTCCAACCCCGACTGCCAGGGTCTATGTTAATTTACTGGAGGGTATCCCATTTTTTGGGGGGCCTGAAGATCCACAACTCCAAGCCATTTTGCTTTGAACTCGCTGCTGAGGAAGGGCTGGTTCTGCTACATCCCGGAGAACGGTGCCATCGTCAGCCCCCATGTGGAAGTCTTCCGCATGGGATCCAATCAAGGTGCGCCGGCGCCGTTCTATTCATTGGTTTCCTCAAATTGGTGGTATTGATTTATCATCCACCCTTTTGCCATGGTTGGTATCATCCTATTTTGCAATATTTTGGATTCATCTTTATTCCTTCCCTTCTAATCATTTGCAGCCACTATCTCATGATTTATCATCTAATCTTCAAAGTGAAGCTTCTGCTGGCTTCCACCTCCAAAACGCCAGGCTATGCGTTTCTACAAGCACCTCAGGCCAGAGTTTGGAAAGTCCGTGAATCCTGGGAATTGTGGTTCTAGTTTACGTATGTTGATATCAGAGATTCCCAGGATTGCTTGATAGCAGGGCGTTAGTACACCAACGGATCCCGAACAATTTGGGGGTTATTAGTCCCGATGAATGGTGAATGATTGGTGCTCCCGAAATTGAAATTTGTGAACAGACCGGCTTGCCCTGGCCATTGCCTGGTTGCCTGGTGGCTCCGCAGTGGATCTGGTAGAACTCATGGAGTGGGAAACATCGAGTTGATGAGGAACCAGCACCACATAGCTGTTGAGGAACATCGAAAAAAAGCCACGAATTTAAGGGCTGTTACTTCAACTACATAAAATGAAACGTACAACTCGCCGTTGTTGAACTTTGTTGTTAAAGACCCAGGTCGACTGTTGGTTGAAACCACATTTTTTGGTGGAACTTTCGAAGAATCTCAGGGTTCACGGTGAGGAATTGGCGGCAGTGGTCAGTGTGGCCATGCCCAACAAGAATCCGACGGTCAAGGAGTTGCTTGGTGAATGGTACCGTGTGGGTGAGTTTACCATGGCACCATGCCTGTGGTCATAGGCCATGCAAAATCATGGGGACTGTAGATATCTATGCCATGGTAGATATATCATGATATATTATTCATGGTTTTTATATATAGATTCTATGGTAATTTTCACCATGACCAAGCCATGAAGGATGGAAAAGGTATGAATCTCTCAGGTCTGCCATGAAGGATGGATGTGGAAACTGGGTTGGCCATATATTACTGCTTAGCATAATATAATGCCATGGTAACCATCAGTAATTATGGCAATCTCAGTAAGATACTGATGCTATGAGAAGTGCCTAATATTGCTTCAATCAACATCAAATCACCACAACACCATATAAAACCATATAAAAACCACATTAAACCACCACAAAACCTAGCTAACTTGGTCTCCCAATCACCTGCCGCCAGCTGCTACGTCCAGGACTCGCCGCTCGATGCCCCAAGCGAAGCCGATGAGTGACTCGGAGCATTTCTGACATCAAAACATGGTGATTTTTGACCATGATGCTTAGAGGCCTGGGAGTCTGAAAGCATGAAAATGTAACATGTGATTAATGATAGATCATGTTAGATCATGAAAGATCTATACTATTTATATCTATTTATTCATGGGGTGTACAAAATACATGAAAAAACATCTTGGAATGACTTTCCGACTTGAACAAAGCATAGGGTGAATGATTTTGATGGATAGATTCTGTTCACCATGGAGGAAAGACCTTTCAAAGCCATGGATTTTGATGGCAGGGTCGGATCAATCGGAGGTTTTGGCGGCCGGCTACGGCCACATACGGCCACTGGTGCTTTCGAAGATCTTCGTGAAGCAATGACTTTCCAAGAACTTTTCTTTGCGATTTTCAAAGATCTAACAATCATTGAATATCATTGAATCATCCCATGACAAGTTAATTGTTAGATCTAAAATTCTAAAATGTGAGATGATTCATCTTGATCCCACAATGGGAAATCAGGGGATGATCTCGACATTTGATCCACGGTAGTTTTTTTCCAGCCAGGTTTGATGCCCCAGGTACAAGGCATTGCTGGTGTCCAAATTCAAGGTTGCGCTCGGAGCAGCTGCTTGACGAAGATTTGTTCGGTGATTTTTCGGGGACGCATCAGGTGGGTCAAGGCTGGAATTGCTGATGATTTTTGGGGGTTTCCGACTTTACCAATGGAACATCCACTATGACTGGGGAATCTTTTATTGGGAAGATGTTGTTTTTCTTTTTTTTGGGGGGGGTCCTTATGCAAATCCAAGTAAAGGTTGGTGGATGGGTAGTTGCTAAATACCTAAAGGGGATACATATGGTAAAAGACAACAACTTTTTGCCGGGTAATTATCTAATCTTGGCCATGAAATGGAGACGAATCTGCGAACCAGCAAAAAACACGTCAGTTTCTTACAAGGTGCCGAAGAGCACGACATGGTAGAGCCGGTAGAGCCATGAGTTCCGTGAAATGCTTCTGAGAAACGGGGATCACAGCGGACACGCACGAGATGGAATCTGGGTGTTGATTCATTGCCCATTTTTGAAGCACCATCCAAAATGTTTCCGAAACCATTTCCTGCCAATCCTTCAGGTTGACCGTGCAAGTCTAAAATCTCATCAGGTAGAAAGAGCCAAAGAGAGAAAGGACAAATAGAACCATAGACGGATAAGGAAGGAAGGAACACATGCAATTTAGAGAGACCAGATCTGAGCCATATTTAACTGGGGATACATCAGGTATTTCATATATGTAAAAGTGGGCTATTTCAGATCATTATTACCGCAACAATGATTCAACATATAACCAAAGTTACATCTAAATAACCTAACCCAGCTATGGCACGCACACTACGTATGAGTAACATTGACTAACCTATATTGCAAACAACCCATTACAAACCTCATTAGCTATATGTACTAGAGTAGTAATCGCAGCTGTTAAAAAGTTACATCATAGAAATACATCTCTAACCTTCTTAAGTAGTATTTATTATCATAATGAAATCACATATGATTAAAAATCATTATCATATCCATTATCATATACTTAATCATTATCCATTATCATGTGTTATCTATGCTTAACAGCCTATCCTAATGAAGCTACTACTTGGGATTCCACTCCGTAACCGAGGCCGTTCTGGCGGGCGCCAGCAAATGTGTTGTGCCGGGCGTGGGCTGCGGTGTCTTCAAGAACGACCCAGGCGGCGGGGAGGCTGTGACAGGTGAAAAACCATGGGGACAGGATACCGAAGTTCTTCTATGGTCACAGGGAAATATATGGGAAAAAATATGGGAAAACAGACATGATGAAAATATGATGGTGACATGATGAACTCTGAAAATCCTGGATTTGAGGGCTATACCTGGCATTTTAGGCGTTTTTTTGAGGGGCTACGTCACGTTGGAACAGAATGAAGAAATCACATCATCCCCGAGATTCGGGAGATTCGGGACATCCGGCAGACTCGAGGTCGCTGCTTCTCGAGTGACTTGAAGGATCGTCCCAAGTGGTTTAGTCAATGTTAGTCACCATAGTTAGTTTAGCCACATATACATATATATATATAATATTTATATTATACATATATAATCATATATAATATAATAATATAATATACATCTATGTATCCTATATCCTTTTTTCCCATATCAAAAGAATCAATGTGAATATCTATTCACATGTGGTACAGCCCCCGAAATGGGGATCTTTTTAAGTCACACCAGGGTCACCCCTTACGTTTTGGACCCTCCCTCCAGGTGACGTGGGATCTGCCCTGGCTGAAGCCGTACGATGGACAGCACTGGGCGGGAAATTGGAGGAGGCCCCGTACGATGGGGCCCCCGTTGAAAAATGATTCAGTTGCCCGAGAAAAGTGGGTGAATTCTATGGGTTATGGTAGATTAAGCTTATAGTTCATGGGGTTAGATTGCCAACAAAAAAACGTTCCAAAACTTAAAAAAACATGTAAGGTTTCTTTTGTAGACCTTAGAAAGCGAAGGATTACTATTGGGTTCACTGATGCACTTCCCAGAAGTTGTATCCGAAATGTTTGAGATCGCACATTTTGAGTTTATCTCCACGTTTGGAGGATACATCCCCGAGGAGCGGGTCATCACCATAGTCATCTTGAGTAGGGCAAATGATGTCCAGAAGGTTTACTTCAGGTTTGCGAATTATAGTACTTCACCCAACTGATTGTCTATGTCGAAAACGAGAAAGACACGGCCAGACTGGCGGTTTAGGCCAAGTTTAGGCCACAATTGATAGCTCCACAGCTTCTCTCAATTCTCTCAAAAAGCTCCAGCAGATTGGTGGCAGATTGGTGGTGTCATCCAGAGTTTTCCATCCCACCATGAAACATGGTTGCCACAATCGGGGGCAAACTCCGGTTGAGAAACTCACCTTGATGATCCGAATCCGCATCCAAAAACACCAAAACTAGACTCTTTTATCTGTGCGTCGCCAACTAAATCTCAGGCCAATCCCATCAAACATCCCATCAAACATCACCATTTCAATCCCATGAAATCCCATGAAACATCCCAATTGAATCCCATGAAATCACCATTTTTGCCGGTTTTTTGAATCACAACTTGGCGATTTCGTGGCCAACCTGGGGCCGCAGGTGATCTTAGCCGGCGTTCCACGTGAGTTCGCCACAGCCGCTGGGGCTGCGGCCTAACGAAAATGGTTTTCAGCTGGTGGAGGTATGAAGATTCCGGGCCCACATTCCTTGGCGAAGTTTTGGTTGAAACTGGGAACTTATGGAAACTTGGGATAAAATCCCAGAAAATTCAGATCATTTCCAGATGTATGGGATAGGCCAATGTGGGGTTGTCCAGTTATGTTTCTTGGTTTGTAAAGCCCAGTAAGCATAGTTAGATTAAAGTACCACAAACCATAGTGACATTGGAATTATGTTCACCGACTCAACGCTATCAAACAGGGGCCCCATTTTGTAAACCATGGCCACTTTATCCATCCGTTCCTGGATTTGATGAAAACTTGTTGGGGAATCTACTTGGATTCATGCATATATACATATATAATCATATATATATATACATACATCATTTAAGGCACCCGTTAAGGAAATCCAAATGTATTGCTTGGAGATTTCACAGATATTGTTGTAGTCTTTGTTTTCGCTTGGGATGATTGCCAAGAGCATCAAGTTGGGGGTTGAGATCAGCAGGTTTTAGATGGGATAATCTACAGGTTTTAGACTCAGCTGGTAACAGCTGGTGTTTTTTTTGGGATGTTTGGAATCCAACTTCATCATACCCTCTGGTAAACATACAAAAAACTATGGAAAATCACAATTTTCAATGGGAAAACTCACTATAAATGGCCATGTTCAATAGCAACCTGTTGACATTACCAGAGGCTATGGTGCCAACCCATGAAGCCTTTTTGGTCTCAATTTACAACTGGGTGGCTCCTCCAATCCAGTTTTGTTTATGGGCACCCAGCATGTTGATGCGTATCAGTTGTAAGGCAGTAAGGTGTGAATTTGATTCCAAAGGACTTGGGAAAAACTACCAGACACCAGCCAGATGTTTCCATATCAGGAGGTTGTCCAAAGTAGACAGCCTAACAGCGCTGGACGTTTCTGCGCTGTGCATCGCAAAAAGTAGCGGCGGAAGATGGATGAGAAGCCATCTGGGGAGCAGTGAAAAAGATCAGCAACGGAGTTTTGACCCGTTGCAAGTGGCAAATCATACAGTCGCCACTTGCCAACAACCTACCGATTTCGATTGGTTGTTCTTTCGGACCCGAAAAAGATCGAAGCGCTTCAATTGACCAACCTATTTCAGTAGGATCGTTCCATCTTTCCGGGGTTGCTATGATGTTATCATCAAGTTGGTTTCAAACTGATGGCACTTATGACAACATCAAGTTGCTTCTATTATGAGTGTTATGGATCATATTTCTTGAGAAGTGGCTACTTTGATCCAACCTGCGAGAACTCGTCCACCCGAAAAAAACGGAGCGACCGCAAGCGACCGCGTGGCGTCGTTTTTGCGTCGTGGCGACGAGTCGCGACGACGGCGACAACGAAGCGCGTGAGCAACACAGCAACGCTGAGGAAATGCGAACCAACTGCCATCGTCAACGGAAGAAATCATCCTTGAAGCCGAACTTAATGGTCACATTCAATGAAAAAACATCGATTGAAGCTCGAAACCGGACAAAAATTCAAACCGGGCTTGTTTCAGCTCACAACTCTGAAACAGGCCATTCAAGGCATGACCAGAACTTTAACCCTCACAACCATGAAAATATGGTGAAACGTAAAAAGCTACGCTTGCCTTGAATTTGGGAATCGGATGAGCATGGAGAAAATGCATGATAAAAGGCACCCTTACCCATAGGGGACAAACCGCCAAGAATTTGGGTTGCTAGAATATATCATAATATCCAGTAACGAACCATCATATTTCCAACAATTTCTTTCTGGGATATAATTCCACTGACTCTTCGGTTACTCAGGTGAACCACCAAGTAGGTATCTTCGATCCTAAAACTTACCCAAAGGTCCAACCCAACATGGCGCCATGTCTGACACAGTCCCTTGGACCCTTGTGACGCAAGGCGAACACACTTTGCAACAAGACGACTTGGAGAAAACGTACGAAGTCAACGCCCACGTGTTACGACTTCTCGACTTCTGTGGATGAAAAACATCGAAAAAAACCGATCGTATCCCGCCATGAACACCAAGTTATGATGTTGAAAAACGCCGGAAACAACGAAAACCACAGGTCGACCCGAATCGATGTCTGACTCCCTGAGCACTTGTCAATCCGACCATCCATGCACTACGGCTGTCGCTTTTGATTCAAATCACTGGTAAGAGGGGTCGACTTGCAGGGTGTGGCACAACGTTAGGAAAGATTGGGGATTATGATGGTTATCATTTTGGGGATTACTAACATTCCATCTTGGAATTGGCTATGAGTAATATCAATTTATAGTAATTGATGGCAATTTCATACAAATTGGATGGTTATTACATGTTATTACTTATTACTACAATATTACTATACTGGTTGGTGCTTCGGAACCAATTTTATGACTTTCCATTCAGTTGGGAATATCATAATCCCAAGTGACGAGCATATTTTTCAGAGGGGTAGGTATACCACCAACCAGATTGGTTCAAATGGGCTATACCGTGCTATACCCCCTTTTCAGAGAAGCACAGTTTTCAGGGTGGAAATGGAGACGGTCGCAAGCGTTCAAAACGTTTGGATACACGCCGCTTTTCTCCGATCAAAAACAGAAGGCCGGCAACAAAGACAGCCTTCAAATTGTGCGATTGAGACCTATTTAAAATCAGGTTGCATGTACAAACTACGTCCCAAAACGTGCATATACATGCAAAACCGAGGTTTCTTAGGCATTTTTTTTGTGCATCCCTTGGACTTGTTTTGCCAAGGCAGTAGTTTTAAATAGCGCTTCAACTGAAACACCGAAATTCGTTGTTTCCGCATGCATGCTCGTCGAAGCAACCTGAGATCGAGTTGCGTGACAATCGTATCGAAAAAAATCGGCCCGCGCAAATAGCGGTGAAATTCGGAGGGCAAAATGAATCTTATCATTTACTCTCGTTCTACACCTTGAAAAGGTGGCGTGCGAATCCTCGAATCGCCTGGATGGTGTGGGCTGACGCTTGGCATGCTATGACCACCAACATCCACCAACCAAAGGTCAAAACCAACCACTCGGAGACTTACAAAGAGACTTCGAAAATGCAGGGCTGAATGAAACACCGCAAAATGACGCAAAATGACGGTGGGGTAATTTACAGACGCAGGAGACACTAATTTTTTTTTCAGCGAGAACCTCCAACATCACCAGATACCAATGCACAGGGCATGATGTTGCAGGTTTCCTCCAAAAATAGGACGCCCCAAAATCCCAATGCTTTATAATGCCGAACATACACTTAGAACACATTTTGGGGAAAACCAAAAACATACACTTAGTACAGGTGTTCAAAGAGGTACTTAGAACACTTTGGGGCAATTTATGTGTTCTAAGTGTATGTCCGCAATTTAAATTATGTAAGGAATGGTACAGCCTATGCAGTTTGTCAAAGAGACGTACCATGTTTGCAGGGTTTCTGCATTATATATATCTATATACATATATATATATATAATATACACATATACACACATACATATTCGGATGTGCCCCCCTTGTAACAACCAAATATTTGATTTACACATACCAAAGAAGCAAAATGAAACACCAGGAAAAAAATACATTAACTTTTCGGAACCTGGGTTAAAAAAAACATCATTCCATTTGGTGTCTTCTAACCCTATATGTTTTGGTCCCCTTTTCCGTGACATTTGTTTTATCAGGTGGCTTGGAGTTCGTGTCCAGCTCATCTTTCTTTCCATGGCTTTCCCTCCAAAAATCCTACCAGGGATCCCCTATACTGCTTTGACATCCCATTGCTTTGACATCCCATTGAATCATTGCTTAGCAAAAATTATATCACAAACAATGAATCTTTCTTGTTTGATACAGTATTGGCAGTATCGGCAAATGGACCTTGAAACATGATATGATGTTATTATGTTCATAATTATGGACTTTTCAATTGACACAATACATCATATGACTCATGACTAATACTATTAATATGACGTGTGACATATGTTGTGCTGTATGATTATTTAAATTCAACAATGATATGGGCCATGGGCGGCATGGATATGATTGTATGAAATGTTGCGGTCGGTCACATGGTATGTTCGGTCATGCAAGATCCTTAGCCGTAAAACCAAAACCCTAAACTCTTGCCGGTAAATCGGGCATAATTGAATGTTGATTGATGCAAAACCGCAAATTAAAAGAACAAAACAAGGGGAGGCCACGAACGGAACACCAGCAGAGGCACCAGAAAGAAACCAAACGGAGCACCCGGATAGGTGCCGAAAAACACCTTTGGGAGACAGCTTGTCCACGGCAAAATTTGCCAATTTCGGCGGTCCTTGTCGCCGTGTGCGCTTTGCAAAAAAAAACGCGATCAAAGAGCACAAAAGGAGCACCAGAGAGACCAGAGGTTTTGCCAAAACGGAGCACCAGCAAGTCCAATCAGAGAGCACAAATGAAGCACCAAAAAGTACAATCAGAGACCACAAAAGGAGCACCAGAGAGACCAGAGGTTTTGCCAAAACTGCCAATTTCCAGTTGGACACCATGTGCACCTGTAGTATCTGTTCTTGTCTCCAAGAAAAAAGCAGCTGCGTTTCAGATCGTGGCGGAGCCGTGCCCAGGGCGATGATGCTAGCATGCAACAAATCGAGAAGTGTAACAAGTTTTCCCTTCGCCTGTTCCATGCTATGTGCAATGGCGTTGGCTTGCTGGGGAAACTATGAGGGGCACCACGTGGAGATGGACACCATGTACCTCGATGGGATGATCCAGAAGTATGACAGCAAGACCGTGGGTTCCACAGGTTCCAATTCGAAATGGGACAACGATGCCCATGTGTGCCGCAATGCAACAACTGGTGATGACTTTTGTTTTCTAGTTGGTGACAGTAAAGCCTGTGGAACAACCTGCAATGAACCTGAAGTTCGAGGCTCCAAGGCGTATGGTGATTTCAATGGTCGACCAGCTCAAGGAGGAGCTCACGTCTTCTCAGGTGGCAAAGCAATAGCTGATGTTCGAGGCCTCAGCATGATCAACAATTTTTCCTCTGGAGATGGTCTGCGCCTAGGGGT